CGCGGCGTCGCAGGTGTGTCGGGGGCGGAAAAGAGGGGGGGGATGACTAGGGGGGGTGGATATCATGGCGGGGGCCAGGATATTTCCCCAGATTTCATGGCGCCTCTTCTTCTTTCATTACGTCCCTGGCCCCCCCGCTGGGCCGCGCACATGCCGCCGGTCATGATTTGCACCCCCCCCTCTTGGACACCCCCCTCTTGGCCGCTCCCGAGTGCGGCATTTGGGACCACCCCAAGGGAGAGCCGCCATGGAGGGGGGCATTCATCGTGGGGAGGTCTCGGGCGAGTGCTGGTGCCCCCAGCCTCCTCTCCCTGGGACATCCCCATGACCATCGCGACACAGCTTACCCGTTTCGGGCGTCCAAAGATGGGGGGGGGATAGGCATATAGAGGGAGATGCATCGACCCCCAATCGCCCACTGATCGCCGACAGGGGCCCGACAGCCCCAGCCTGCCCAGGAAGGTGCGGGTTCAGTGTCTGGGGCCTCTCGCCGATCTAGTGGCGATGTATCGCCGACTCCAGGTGGATGCATCCCCCCTATGCTAGTCCTCCTCTATCGTTGACCCTCAGGATTGCGATCGGTGGCGTTGGGCCCTGGGGGGCACGACTCCGTCCTCGTCGGGCCTCCTCGGGGGGAGCGGCGGAGAAACTCTATCGAGGTCCCCCCGGGGTGCCAGCTGCAAACCACACCCTTTGCTCGGCGGCGAACCTCGGGGGGAGCGAGAAGGGGAGTGGCTCGTCAGGATGCGCGGCGGAAGCACCCGGCCCCCGAGAAGGTTGCCAGGCCTTCCCCGAAGACGCAGACAATTTCTCGGAAGGCAGGAGTCCTACAGTCGAGGCGCTGAAGAAGGAACCCTTTTCGTTGGGGAGGGGCTCGGTGTTCCTTGATTGTTTCACAGCTTGCCTCAGGTTTTCCTTATGTTTTCGATGGGAAATCGAAGTTTAACTTGTGGAAAAAAGGGGCCTCGTTCCTTATTTAGGGTTCCTTAGATCAACGCCCCGACTGTACCGAGAAGCCCCGCCGCCCTCTGAGAAGGCCCTCTCCTTCTCACTCCCCCCCCCCGTCGCTCGCCGCCGACCTCTGCAGGCCACACCCTCTTCGGATCGGGGGGGAGGGAGAGAGGCGACACCAGCGCCGCCGGGGGGGGCACCTCCCGCGAGGAGGCCCACGCTGCCTTCCCGAGCCGGCGGCTGGGCATGCCTCGAGCGAGAGGGGGCACGACACCACCAGGGAGGCACCCCTTCAGGAGGGGAAAAAACACACAGACACAATGAATCGCCGATTCCCAGGAAAAGATGGGACAACATCGGAAGTGGGGTGGGGGGGGGAAGACGAAAATGAAGACAAAAATATGGGGAATCTTGGGTTGGGTGTGCAGGTGTATTCATCTGTGTGTCCCTGGGCCCCTTCATCCCTTGCTCCTAGCATCTCCTCGCCCTGGTGGTGCTGGTGTCGCTTCTCCTTGCTCCCATCCGGAGCCGCCCGGCCCGAGGCTCGCCGCGTGGTTCGGCGACGGCCTCGGGCCGCCGCCGGGCCGCTTCGACGAGCTGCCGCCGAGCGACGGCTTCGGCGGGGGCTACCTGCCCCTGAGGGGCGAGGAGGCTCGCGGCGGGGGGGGGGCGCCCAGAGGAGGAGCGGAGGAACGGCAGCATCTTCAGAGACAGAACCTCAGGAGGTCTCTTCTCTAGTTCTGCCCTCCTCCCCTCTGTTTCTTCTCGGCGGGGGCTCAACTCGTTCCTCTCCTCCTGCTCCCCCTCCTCCTCCTCCTCCTTGCCCTTGTCCTTCTCCTGCGCCTCTTCGTTTCATTCCGCGGAGAAACAGCTGTGTTCGATTATTGGTGGGACTCCAGACCGTCAATAAGGTCACCGAACAGATAATCAGTTTCCATATCTATCTATCTCTCTCTCTCTCTATTGGGAGGTCTCTAATGACCTACACCAGCTAATCCTAAACACATGAGGGCATAAACAATAGTGGCATAAACAGGAGCATCAAATGGCGCCCCCTGGCGGCGCCGCCCCTGGCGCGCTCCCCGCGCCAGGGCAGGGGGGGCCCAGCGGTGATCCAAGAGTCCGCGCGGACCTCCGAAAATTTCATGTTGATGCGATTTTTTGTTGGTAGAAGGAAGAGATACCCATACCGCTGCTCGTCCTCGGTTGCCCTCTTAGCCGCTGCCGGATTATCCTCGAAATTGTCGCCAGAGGGCACCCAGGGAGAGGTCCGGGGAGTCGCAGTATATCGGTATGTTTCTGCCCTTGAGGTCCGAACGTTGCAGGAATTTGTTTCACGCAAGGCGTTTTCGCCCAGTTTCGGAGCCTGGGGCTGTCACAGGTCAATCCAGCTCGAGCTACGCCGCAGAAAGATGGGATCTAGGGCTTTGATCGTGATTTCTCGGGATGTGGCAATTTTTTCGCAACGTCGGATCTTAGGGAAGGGAGGATCGCGATCTCGGGGGCCACATTCGATTCGGTGCTGCTCGCAGTGACCCCTCGGCTGACCTGCCTCCTCCTCCTCCTCCTCCTCCTTCTCCTCCTCCTCCTCCCCATACCTGCCAGGACGGGCGCAAGGGGGGCATCGGTGGGACAGGGGGGGTACGAAATCTGATACACGCATCAGGATGCCACTCCTGGGAGCTCTCATTCGGAATCGGCGCATATTTCCCTGGTCGGGAACTGGCCTCGTCTGGCTCAGTCCTGGCTGATTCAGCCCAATCCCTTCGAATCCGGCTCGGTCCTGGGCTTATTCAGGCCTAAGTGAGTCCAAGCAATGGCGAAGCGACGCGTCGCTTCGGCGAAATGATCAAGCAATGGCGAAGCGTCGTTTCCGCGAAATGTTCTTAGAACATTCCTGGCTGGGACTGTCGTTTGAACACATCGGGTTTATGTTCTAAGCACATTGTTTTTGGTCGTCGAGCGTTTTTGGGTTCAAAGAACACGTCGTGGTAGGCCTATAGGAGTGCTGGGACGGCCGGTCCCTGCTCAGTCAATCTCACCATCCACCAAACCACCCCAACCCAACCCGAAAGCTCAGATTTGCCCTCCATTTCCAGTGGGGGGGGTGTCGGGAAACATCGAAAAAAACACATGTGGAACCCTTACCCCCCCCCAAACCCGAAATTCGGGCCTTCGGGCTGGGTTGGGGTGGCCTGGTAGGCAGTCACAATCGGGCTCGATCGCCCTTCGCTCTTCTGACGAAGACCTCCCCGGGAGAGCTGCCTCTCCAGCCCCCCGGGCCCCGCCAGCCACCGGCCGGCGGACACGCGCGCCTCGCCTCGCCTCTAAGAACACTGTGTTTGGGTTCAAAGAACATGTCGTGGTAGGCCTGTAGGGATGCTGGGACGGCCAGCCCCTGCTGAATCCATCGGCCTCGATCGCCCTTCGCTCTCCCGACGAAGACTCCCCCGGGGGAGCTGCCTCTCCACAGGCCGCGGGCTGCGGCCCCGCCGCCGGGCGCCCGTGCTCTCGATGCAGGGGCGCCAGGGAGAAAAGCCAGCAGCGCGAGCTGGCCCGCGGGCCCCCCTCGTGCGCTGCTGAGCCCCCCTCCGCCGTGCGCGTCCGGGGTTTGCCCCTCGCTGTGCGCGTCCCGGGCCAGCCACAGCTGGGGGAGCCGTGGTCCTTGCCCCCCCCCGGGGGGGCAAGGACACATGTGGAACCCTTGCCCCTGTCCCGTTGCCCGAAATTCGGGCCTTCGGGTTGGGTTAGGGGGGTCTGGTGGGCAGTCACAGCCGGGCTCGATCGCCTGACGAAGGCCTCCCCCGGGAGAGCTGCCTCTCCACAGGCCGCCGGCTCCGGCCACGCCGCCGGGCGCCTGCTCTCGGCGCAGGGGCGCCAGGGAACGGTCGGGGGTGGACAGAACCCCCAGCAGTGACCCTCCTCCTCCTCCTCCTCCTCCTTCTCCTCCTCCTCCTCCGCCTCCTCCTCCGCCTCCTCCTCCTCCTCCGCCTCCGCCTCCGCCTCCTCCTCCGCCTCCTCCTCCTCCTCCTCCTCAACAGTGACACATCAAGTAGTGCATTGTCCGTTGTCGGTTTTCGAGAGGGCGCCGTGGCCGTTATTTTCCAGGCTTGCGCCCGCCAGGTTTGGGCCTCGGGTCGTTTTCACTGAACCACGTTTTACTAAAGGGAGGTCTGTCCATCCCCGAAATAACCAGCAGCGCGAGCTGGCCCGCGGGCCTCCTCGTGTGCTGAGGCCCCCTCCGCCGTGCGCGTCCTGGGTGTTTCAGAAGGGAAAAAAACGCACAGACACAATGAATCGTCGATCCCCAGGAAAATATAGGAAAATATGGGAGGTGGGGGGAAGACAAAAACCCAGAACATATGGGGAAATTTGGTGGGTCCTTTTATTTGTGTGTATTTATTTGTGTGTCCCAGGGCCCCTTCGTGTTCCTCGCTGTGCGTGTCCCAGGCCAGTCACAACTGGGGGAGCTGGAGCTCTGGTCCTTGCCCCCCCGGGGGGCCCATCGGTTTCGGCACCCCTCTCGAGGGAACGTCGATGCGACGGTTTCCCCCAGAGGGGGTAAGGACCACAGCTCCCCCAGTTATGGCTGGTCGGTGTCCAGGGTTTCGCGTCGGGCCTGGCAGGCTGTGTGGGGCTGCGCGCGACAGGCAGTCGTCGGACTGGAGAGAGGTGGTGCCCTGCGAGCTCCGAAAAAAAATGCCTTGAGCCCTCGTCGCTCGCCTTCCCCTCCCGCCCACGATGGCCAGGCCTCCGGCGATCTGGTTTTTGCTCGGTCTGGGCGTTCTTCCTCGTGTCGGCTCTGATGGCTTCCGAGTCCGAGTTAATTCGGCTGCGGAGTCCGATGTGGGCTCCCATTTCTCCACGGCGGCCTATCAGCCTGCCGATTTCTGCCGATTGGATTTCTCCCGACTCGGCTGCCGATCATCCGCCGATCCGGTCCACTTCGATCGCCGATTCGACTCATCGATTCGATTCTGGGCTCGCCCGGGCGAGGAGGGGAGGGGAGGGGAGGGGAGGGGAGGGGAGGGGAGGGGAGGGGAGGAGGAAGAAGAAGAGGAAGAAGAAGAAAAAGAGGAACAGAACGCCGTGTGTCCATGATGCACGTGAGCAATAACCCCATGCCCCCGATCATAAACCCTAAGGGATAATAAAGTTCGGGGTTTTCGGGGGGATAATAAAAGTTGCCCGCCAGAGCCAGCATAAAGAAATATCAAGAGGGAAAAGCCACAGATATCTTGAGGATCCTTGGTCTTTGGTCCTCTATGAGACATCCTCAACAATAATTTGTGTCGGTTGAGACAGCCTCAACGAATTGCTTGTTTCGCTTGAGACATCCTCCTCATCAGAAAGAGAAGAAGAGGAAGAGGAGGTAGAGGAGGAAGAGGATGAGAAGGAGGAGAACGAGCAAGAGGAGGAGAGAAGAACGAGGAAGCAAACATCCAAAGTTCAAAACTTAGCATATTTAATTTGTAAACGTTTAATGAACATTAAAATTTTCATCTGCTCGTGTAGGGGTAGCTCATGCGCTTAGTTTCCCTAGGATAATCAACCCCAGCGATAAACAAGTTCAGGGGGCCAGGGAGACAAGAAGAAACATAAATAGAAAGAGAAATATAAAGAAAGAATAAAGGGAAGAGGAGAAGGATGAGAAGGAGGAAGAGCAGGAGAAGCAGAGCAGGAGGTAGAAGCAAAAATCCAAAGTTGAAAACTTATTAGATTCAATTTGTCAACGCTTAATGAAAATTAGCAATTTCATATGCTCGTGTAGGGTAGCTCCTGTGCTTAGTTTTCCCCGGATAATCAACCCCTTCGATAAACAAGTTCAGGGCGCCAGAGGGAGGAGGAGAAAGAAAGACAGAGAGAGAGAGAGAGAGACAGAGAGAGAGAGAGAGAGAGAAACAGAAAGCAGCACAAAGAAATTGAGAGAAAGAGCACACGTGTTCGCTTCGCTTGATGTTGTTATCCCAACATAAGAAGGAAGTAACCTCGATGGCGAACTTTCCCAGTGATAATGAAGTTCGGCCTCCGCGCCCCCGCGCCCCCGACCAAACTCTTATTGGTCGACGATAAAAAACTCTAACAACTTAAGGGGGGGTACATTATTATCGTGGGCATGGGGTTACTCCTATTCAGCCACATCCGCAGCCTCGAGGTGAGGCAGGGCGGGCCGAAACGAGGAGCGAGGGGGGAAGGCGAGGAGGCGCGGGGGGAGGGGACGAGAAGCGGAGGGAGGGGCACCGAAACGTGCATGTCTCGTCGGACGTCTGGGAGTGCCCCCGCGGGGCCGCGCTCTGGCCCTCTCCGCTCCGAGAGTTCTGCCCGCCGGGCAGTGGCCACGGCCAGGCGGGGCCGGGTCTCCGGGAATTTGAAGGCCCAGCGAGGTTGCTCTGACAGTTAGTCTAACAGTCGTCGCCGCCGCCGTCGTCGCTTTCGCCGTCACCGTCGTCGCCGCCGCTGCCGTCGTCGTCGTCGTCGTCGTCGTCGTCGTCGTCGTCGTCGTCGTCGTGGTGCGCTGGCGTTGCCCTATCTCGCCCTGCTCCGAGGGCCACGGATGCCCAGGAAGGCAGCGTAGGTGGGGGCTGCGGAGGGGGTGCGCGACTCCTTGAGGTCGGCCAGAAATCCAGCGGCACCACCCCACCTGCGGCCTCCCATGCGGCGCTACGCCATATATCCTGGTATACGCTAAGCTTAAGTCGGGCGTGCCCCTCTACAGGAGGAATATCAAAACAATGTCTGGAGACGATGTTCTACTAATTTTTAGGATTTGTTGAACATGTTTTACATATTTCTGATTTTTCACCCTGAATCCGCCTGTAGGACTACATGCCCGACCTAACGCTAAGCCTCGTGGGGCCGTGGGTGGGGTGGTGTCGTTTGTTTTCTGGTCCACGGAGCCTCTCTGCGGGTGCGCGTGGGCAGTTCGGCAGATGGGAGTCGGAGATACAGTGGGGGCCCATGCCAAGAAACACCCTGCTTGCCTCCAGGGTGCCCTGGGTTTCTTGGGTTCCGATGGTTTCGCGATGGAAAGCGTAACTTTCCTACACCAAAAATCAATGGACGTCCTGGGGTCTCAGGGTTGGGTTTCTCGTGGAAGGTTTCTTGTGGTCGGGCCCCTATTGTACACCCCCCGAGGGGTCTATTCGGGCCCACCCCTATCGAGAATGGACGCCCCCCCCATCGTATATCCTGGGGCCGGGCCCCGAAGTCCTGGTCCTTTCGAAGCCCCACGAAGCTTGGGATGGGTGGGTGGGGTGGGGGGGGGAGGGGGAAGGCAGAGATCTTGGTCGAGCTTACAGACGGTGACACTTTCTGGTTTTATGCATATTCCGATCGGATGTATAGTCGTCAGCGCTCTGAATTGATAGCTGGTGTCTAGCAATATCTTAGTGGTACGTTCGGCTGCGCCTCGCGCTTGGCGGGTTGTAGGCTCCATTTGCTGTCAGTCCATGGAACTTACCGTCGGCGCGCGCATTGGCAGACGCCGCGGTTGGGGGGCGGCGTATCCCCCTTTCAGCGACCACAGTCGCTGCGGTTACGCCGGGGTGCGGTTTGCGAGTTGCTTTGTGGCGGTCTCTCCGGGGCCTTTGTGAGAGACAATGTCACTTTTGTCGCCGTTTCCAGCGACACTATCATCCTCGATGTGTGCTCCACTGTACTAGGAGGAGCGACAGTGTCATGTGATTCGGTCGCACTGAGTGACAGTGTCATCCGTTTCCCGGGGGCGGGAAGGGGCAGATATGACGGGAGGCAAACCGCACCCTTCGCGAACCGCACCCATTGTAGTCCCCGACCCTTGTTGCCTCACTGGGGGACCTGGCTGCCCTCGCCCTCTTCGGCAGCCGGGGCTGCCCGCACACACCTCCCGGTACGCCGGTGTTCGGTGCCCGTGGCCGCCCTTACTCCTGGTGGCGTGGGCCCTCCCCTGGCAATCCGCAGCAGAGAAAACGGCCCTCCTCCTCCCTCCTCCCTCCTCCTCCTTTCTCCTCCTCCCTCCTGCCTCCTCCTCCTCCTCCACCTCCCTCCTCCTCCCTCCGCCTCCCTCCTCCTCCCTCCTTTATGAACATAGAAACTTTGGGCGTTCCGCGGCTTGCGGGGGCCCAGCGCGGATCCGAGGACTCCGCGCGGAGCGCCAGACGTTGATGCTACGTTTCTGCCGCTCTTTCTTCTTCCATCCCCGTGGCGTGGACTCTCTAATCAGCGAGCGAAGAACGGTATAACATAAACTTTTTCGCTGTCGGGGGCGCCTGTCCCTGGGCGGCTGGAAAGTTTATACCCCTACAGTGCCACCGTAAGGGTATAAACTTTCCAGCTGCCCAGGGACAGGCGCCCCCGACAGCGAAAAAGTGTATTTTATACCGTTTTTCGCCCGTTAATCTAGGAATGGCGCTCCTCCACGCGTTCCTCCGCGGCCGCCCTCGTCTTCTGCCCTTCTGCCTTGTTGCGTGCCCCCCCGCCGCGCGCGCGGCCCGCCGGATCTTCTCTCTCTCGACCGCACCTGTGCGCGCCCGCATCCGCTGCGGGCCCAAATCTTTTCGGGCTCGTCGCCGTGCTTCTGGGCTCTGTCCGGGGCTCCGAGAAATCTCGGGGACGGCAAAGGGGGGGGTGATGACTAGAGGGGGGGGATCTCATGGCGGGGGCCATGGGATCTCCCTAGATTTCATGGCGGTGCTGATGATGAGGATGAGGATGAGGATTCGTATGATTATGATGCTGATGCTGCTGCTGATGATGATGATGTTGATGCTGATGATGACAGTGGTGATGGTGATGGTGTTACTGATGATGCTGATGATGATGCTGCTGATGATGATGTGATGATGATGATGATGATGATGATGATGATGATGATGATGATGATGATGATGATCATGATCATGATCATGATGAGGATGATGATGGTGGTGGTGATGATGATGATGATGATGATGATGATGATGATGATGCTGATGATGATGATGTGATGATGATGATGATGGCGGTAATGGCCATGGGGCCATCTTGGGCGTCTTGGACCGATCGTTCGGTGATTCGGAACTTTCTCTGGCCGTCTTGAGGGCCTCTTGCGGCCCTGTTGGCCCGTCTTGGGCCCCTCTTCGGCTCATTCTGGGGGCTCCAGAGTGCGCGCGGGGAGCCTCAAGAGATTTGAGAGCTTGGGGTCCGGGCCCGTT